CCTAGACAGTATTTGCAGTTATTTGTTGATGCAAAATTCTACTAACATAGAAGTCAGTACGTGTGGCTGAGCATGCGAATATTTGGCTTGATCTGCTTTGAAATAGAGTGGAATAACTGTCAATCAGTCAATCCATTTCACTGATGTCACTTTGAACAGCTGCTTTAACGCAACCTACAGTGCCTATAAACTGAAGTATTTGCCTGCTATTGAATTATTTTCCTTCAGATTATGCTTCTAATTACTGGCACCTCACAACAAATATGGTGAACACTGTTGATGTGTATCATACTGCAAAGTGCTATATAAGCATCCTGTTTTCCTGCGTGTTTATATAGACAGACCTGATTTTAGTTAAATACATCTTTACTTTTCCTTGAATAATACTATGAAATCTGAGAATCACTAATGGTTAAGTAACGCATATTTCAGCTTTTCCATATCTAAGTTCTGAAGCTGTCATTTCTAGTGATTGAATTTACTAATAAAATTCTACCAAAAAAAAAAAAATAATCCCAGTAGGCCAGCATTTAATAGTTAGAGTGAGGTTTTTCACTGTAAGAAGGTTGAACATATACACATTATTGCATCAAAAACAATGTCAATTCAGTATACCTTCTTACTGTACGCATATTAAAACACCTTTTCTTAACTTCTAGATGAAGTTGTAAAAGCAGCGATGGATCTAGACGGCAAACATGTTGTCTGCATCTTGGACATCTGTCACTTGGGTGATGATAAGGTGGAAGTCTTTCTGAGCAAAATCTACAAGACAGTGGGACCTGGTGTGCTGGATCCAGTGTAATTTAATAACTTATTTTTCAAATTTATATTGTTCAAAAAGAGGGAAATAAAATTGTTGTAACTTGAATACGCCCTCTACACATTGCACTTTTCCAGAACTAGCAGACAACAAACATAAAATTATGATTCTTTGAGCAATTGTAATGGCCACCCATGCAACTGAGAAGGACAATTGTTGCTTTTATTTTTCAGCAGTCTTGAAACAGATTACACAAAATGTCTTGGTCACTTATGTTCAGGAAGGATGAATAGACAATACAGCGAGCTTATCTTTTGATAGGATACCAAGGAGTATAAGTATGATTGTCATCTCTCTTTCTCTGCCTGTGTACATACATACACAGGAACTGTATGAGTATGAGGAAATCAGGGTGAGAACTGAGAAGAGAGGCAGGCTTTCCCAATAATTAAAGGCAATGTTTGCAAAAGAATTAACTGGCTGTGATATAAATTTAGGCTGGAAATTAGAATAATTTTTAGGATTAGAGCTGTTATGTTGTATAGTGATCTTTTAGTGGGAGGTACTAGGGGCAGTCTAACTGCTCGTTAGGCTTGAAGCTTGCTGTGTTTGTGAAAGGGATTAAATACCATGGTGCCTTTAGCACTGGGGACTGGACTCAGTGATCCAAGAAGCCACTTTCAGTTCTTTTTGCCTGGGCAAGGTCAACTGTTGTGGTTTTATATGTCTGCTTTTGTATATACAGCGTTAGGTAGTGAATGTAGCACTCAAAGGTTTTTAACATATTTTATTTATTAATAAAAAAATAATGAAATATTTTTAAAAAGAAACTTTGTTAGTGGAACTTGCTTCTAGCTTTGCAAGAGAAAAACTGTCTTTGAGGAGCGCTTAGCATGGCAGGATACACAGTTTGCCACACCATTAGTTTTTTTTCTGTTGATCACCAGTCTCCTCCTTTTTAGTAATAGCTGCATTCTGAATACATGAAGGAGCTCAGCAGCTGCGAGAAGCTGCTACTTCCACAAGAGCAAGAGACTCACAAATTCTGTCAAATTTTTGCCTGTATACTAAGTAGCAGCTGGCTCCTGCTGAGTTCAGAACCAAGTCACACTTTTTCCTCCCATGTCAAACAGCCTCAAATCATTTACACAACTGGATCCTTAGGAAATTATTCTCAAGCAGGAGCTAAAACACATTGCTATTTGACAACTTGTCCATGTGAAATGCTGGTCTCGGCTCAATTCTTTGAGAAGAAATAATTGCATTATGGAAACTTGCCAATTAAATTGTACCATTATTGACCAAAGCCCACAGAGTTAATTTATAGGAACAGATTTATTCTTTTGTGGAAAACTTCTAGGCACGTTTTAGCAGCCTGTTGGTAATTGGGGAGTGTATCTTTCAACTAGTAGCTCACTCGTCTGCCCTGGGGACGGCAGACTTTGTCTTCAAGTACTTAAATTCTGTACCCTAACTTCAGTTAATGGTAATTGAAGGAGAAACGTTAACTGTCGTTATTATAGTACAAGTTCATAGGCAACTTCAGATAAAAAGTAAAAGCCTTAACATTCTAAAGAAATTGCCGAAATTATTCTGTCTCTCTAGACTGGTTTACAGTTTAAAAATGTATTAATGGGAAAAGTTTAACTTAAATTGCACAAGTAAAAGCTAATTAAATGTGACTATGTATTGTATGTTTATATTTTGTACGGATCATATAGTATTAGTTCTAGAGCAATGTTTGTCAACCCATGCCTTTCAGAGTACCTTGTAACCTTGCCACAGAAGGCAAAATGAAAACATACCAACCCGAGAAGAGCACGGTGTTGCTTTCAATGTGTTGTTTGTGTAATTTTGTTGCTTATGGGTATGTGAAGACTAGAGGCCATTGCTCTAGAGTGAGACGTATTAGCACCAGCACTTCGTGTACCAAACTGAGCCATGCTGACTGTGTCAGCCAGTAATTTTTATTTAGATATACTTCAGGTCGAAGTCTAATTTTAATGAAACCATTATTTCTAAAAGCAATTTTTAAATTATCTTTGTACAAAAGGACTGATGTGGCTAACGCTGTCACAGAGCCACTCTGTTGTAGTCAGTTCTGGCCACTCCATCCATCCCATGTAACAGAAATGCAGCAAAGGCTGTTTGCCGCATTGCACTGCTTGCTACACTTTAAACATATAGCATTAATCATTTCATCCTTCATGTTAGGACTTCCTAACTCTAAAAGAAATATCGGAATGGTGTGTAATATGTATAATACGTGCTTGAGACTTTAAAGTGTATGATTCTATTTTACAGAAATGTTGTCTGAAATTTTTCATGGCAAAAGATGGGAGGGAGAGATACTTACTCTTGCAGAATGAAGTGCCAATGTTAGAAGCATAGGCGCTCTGTGTGTAGCTAGAGACTGTTCAATGCCTGTAGTAGTCTTGGAATTCCAATACTGCGGGTCGTTCTGCAGAGGCACTTACCCCATCCCCGTGAGTTCCACCAAACTTAATATGCCAACTTCAGTTGCTGAAGTGTTGCAGTATTAATATATGGTTCCACCACTCCGTCTCCCTCCTCCCTGCCAAACCAGCACTGTAGCACTGGCACGGAGATCCTCTCTGCAAAGAAACTATTTGCTGTTTTATGTCACTTGGTGTTTATTGACACAAGTATAAAACCAAAGTATATTTGATCCCGAGTCTGTCAAAACATGGTAATTTTGCCATGTTAAACCAAGATACAAAATCTTTACTCCTGCAAAATGTCATAGGAATCATCTTTCTTGCTGCTGTGTGTTGCCACTGCTGAGAGTAAAATACTATCAGATCACATTCCCTAACTGTAGAATTCATACTCAGCCAAAGAATTGTACTCTAAAATCTTGCATTTGCATGTTTGTTATGTTTTCAGTGTTAATTTCAAAGAAAACCAGAAGAATGGTACTTTTGAGTGTATAAAGCTTGCTAAGTCATAGATCTTAGAGGTAAGATCAGTTTTGAATTAATGTGATGTAGAGATAGTGCAACACTGAAAACTGAAGAATATAAATAAATGAATTAATATATGTAAACGTCTGGGATTATTTCTTTCAATTTCGTTCCATTTTCTTTTCACTTCTGAAAGCTGTTTCAGTTTTCCAAGAATCTTCTCCACAGTCATGTTTACTCTTTTAAAGAATCTTTACAGGAGAACTAGGTCAAGCTTCCATCAAAATACATGCTGCCAATTGCAGCTTCTCTTGGCTTTCAACGCTGTGTGCAGCACGACTTTTGCAGAAAAACAGGAAAAAGGTCTTGATGACTTTACAGCTTGTCCTTTATTTTCATTACGGACTACAGAGTTCTGACATCAGTAAGGTTTTCAATTTTTCTGTTCTATTGTAAGAAAACAAGAGTTGATACTAGTAATTGTTACGGAATACAACAGTGACTGAATTCAGAGGAAGAATCTGTAGACCCTACATCCAGAAATGGAGAGTCGTGTGATAATCATTCGAACATCTCAATGTAAATCTTGAAGGTGAGCTAGCGTGTGAAAATGGGCTGAAAGAGGTAGTTTGCTTCTGTGATCAGTTTAGGTGATTCTACATCTCTTGCGTTGGTCTAAATCAATGTTAAAATCAGTTCGTTATAAACACCAGAACAATCTGGACCTGACAGAGTAGATGACTGAAAGAATCCAAAAGGAGAAATGCGGGGAATGACTTGGTTATCTTAGTCTGTAAGATGGGTACATTTTTTTTAATATTTCCCTCCCTCCGCTTTTGACCTTTTTAACACGGTCATTACATCACAGATTGCATTGTGGAGTGAGAACCCTGAGCTTACATCACTGAATGGAAGATTAGCTGGTCCTCTGAAGTGACATTCAGGTTGAAATAGGAGCAGGGGGCTTGAGCAATCTCTCAGGAAGCATCATCAAAGCTGGAATTTGTGCAGTAATGGGAGAGGAGGAGGGGGAGAACAATGCTTTGTGAAAAAGGAGCAGGTTAGGGCCGAAGGTTACTTGCAGGTCCTTTCGTCTGCATCTCTGCGTCACAACAGGCAGGCGTGTCACTTGTGTCCCCTCCCAGCCCCCACTCCAGAGAAGCTCACTGACACCTCGAGGACTTACCTGGGTGGTGTCAAGTTCCTGTTGGAACTGAAATTTCAAACTCATCGGCAGGCTGTGGGCTAGCAACAACCACCACCAGCCGAAAACTTCTGTAGACGTCTACGTTTTGTGCTTATATGAACGAGCAATGAAGCAAGTGGATAAGTTCATTTTTTTCTGCCTCCTGGTGGTTGTTAGTATTTTATTCAAGACTACAGAGGCACTTCCTGTGAGTGCCTCTGTAAGTTTGTTCTATTTCAACAGCACTAGCAACAGGTCTGTGTCCGAGCAGTGCGAATGTGGCCTGTATGGATTAAATTCTCCTCTGCTTAGCGCTCGGGGGCTTGTGGGCATTCCTAAATCTGCTAATCTTCAAGCCTGCGATGCAAATACCCGGTTCACCATCACAAAACCACCGTGGATAGCACTGATTGAAAGAGGCAATTGCAGTTTTGCTGAAAAAATTAAGGTGGCAGCCAGAAGGGGTGCAAGAGCAGCTGTGATCTACAATGCGCTGGACAAAGGCAACGACACTGTCCTGATGTCGCATCTCGGTGAGTATCACAGCGTGAAGCGCTGAAACCTGATCATTTCTCTGAAATTTGGTCCAGGACAGCACAGCCGGGCTATAAGGAAGCAGTTGTGTTTGTGGGTGATTGTTGCTTTAATCAAGAAATTCAAGGGGGGGAAAAAAAATTCTGCAATTTGAGTCTTGACTTCAGTGCTTAGTAAGAAATACTCTGCTGTTACGTTCAGAGCTTGGTACAGTGTAGCCAAACTGGTGAGTCTTTGAGGTTAGTACCTTTTTTTACTTGTACAGCACACAAATTATTTTAGACACTGATGTAGAGAAACCCATAGTGTCTGCTTTGAAGGCACTACTTCATTTTTTGAGGTTAGAGGACACCAATGAACCTACAAGTGTCTGCAGCATAGGTATATGCTTTGCAGATTGCAAGCCAGATCTTGCTTGCTTTTTTTTTTTCCTAAATGGTTCTAATCCTTTCCGATTAGCGGCTGACCTCAGCCTCTTCGGGGATTCCCTAATTCCTTAACGAAAGGTTAGACAAAATGCTTGTAATCGCCCATTCCGGCCCTAATAGCTATGGATCTGTCATTAGGGAAGGGCTGAGAAGCTAACTGTGATAGCGCATTGCTTGGCTTTTATTTCTGTGTGTTCCTCTAGGTCAACCTGTCTAATAAGCATTTTAGTACAAAGCATACGTAGACGTAGCTAACTCCGTGAAGGAATCATGAACAAGGTATTGCACAACACAATAAAAAATGTGCTGTACGGCACTGAAAGTGCAGTGGCTTGTTGTACTACGCAGCCAGCTTTGACTCTCCGGATATCATGATAGAGCTAGCGTTTGCGAACGGAGCTTAAATGTTTTACTGGAAATGTGTAGCCAGTGAACAAAAGCTTTTGTTCCACCTCTGGAGAAGGTGATTTAAACTTCAGTGGCCGGCATGTCAAGATTCAGATTAACTTGCCTTTTTTATTTGGTTTTGGAGCGTGCCAGCTCGTACTAACACTGGATGAATAAAGAAAGAATTGGACTGGCTTTATGTAGCTGCAAAATCGGTGCCAGCTGCGTTTCTTGGGAGCGGTGGCGGGAGCGGGGCGGCCCGTTCCCCCGGAGGTCGGTGGAGGAGAATGGGATGGAACCTTGTTTAGAGACGCTGGGTAACTGGGATGTCACAAACCCGACAGTTAGACTAGACTCCAGAAATAAGATAATTATTTAGGATAGGCCCTGAAAGCAGACCCTAATTTTTCAGATTTTTTTCTCTAAACTAAAAAGTTTTTTTAAATCTTGAAAGCAATAGATATACCATCCGAGAGCGTATTTCATGAGACGTGAAGTCCCATCTTTCTTAATTTCATTCATTTAGTTTTCCCAAAGACAAATTTTGTGATTTTTTTGTGATCACAAAACTTGTGATTTTTATAGGACTATTTCCTACAGTCGTCCTATAGGACTGAAGTGGATATCGCAATCTATTTTGGTGGCAAAGAGGGTCTATAAACCAGGGCAGTAGACACGTGTGTTAAACACGGTGAGGGCAAAATACTTCAGTGAGATGAGCTCTTCGTCTAATCAGTATAGGAGAAGCATCTTCCCTCTGTATTTGTTTCCTTTGGTGCAAAGCGTGGAGCCGTAAGTTCTTTAGGTAAAACAGAAAAAGCCTGGGAGAGGGGTGGTCATTGCAGCACAGCGCTCAGAGCAAGAGAGTGCCTGGAGATGATTTATTTTTTTACGGTAGAGTTGTTCACGGGGCTGGGGAAGGAAATCTCCTATTTGGCTGGAATCTGCCAATGGTGGCATCGCCCAGAGAGATCTGAGGAGACTTGGCCATTAATCCTCTCTGCTATTTGGGCAGGGGACCTTCGGAGATGAGACGCCCCGTCGGCAGAGCAGCGAGAGAAAAATCTGCCCTGCTGCTGCCAGCAATCTGCGAGCTCCTGATTAAACAAGGAGCTGCAGCCTCGGGGGTTATCGGCCGGCTCTCGGTTGGGGCCAGCCCTGACATCCTCAGTCATCTGTCTGTACTGCTCTGCTACTGTGCAGGGCTATAGGAATCCCATCACCTTGGTTATTTATTAGGCCCTGGGGCCTCGGCCACAATTTCCCGCCATCCTCCTCCCTTCCTGCTGACTTTAACGCAAAATCAATAGAGCTTTCTAGCCAACCTTATTTTCTGTTACAACAGTACGATATTATGTATGTATTTCACGTCGTAAAACACTCACTCAGTCTTACAGCAATGAAATAGTTTGTTCTGGGCAAAGTCCAGGTGTGCAGGAAACATTGGTAATTTAAAGCTGCTGGGAATGAACAGAGAGAAAAAACTCCCCTCTTGGTGAGTCCTTCCTCATCCTCTATCGCAGTTCCTTTTACTGTCACCAGTTTTACCTGTTGCTGGGTATTGCTTTGTTGTTACACACACAGACATAAGATAAAACTGATACATTAATAGTTTTTGCTATGGAAAATTTTAGAGGTCAAGATAATAGTGACAACGGTCGGATTCCTCCCCGACTACACAAATCACTGGTAGGAAAATGCTCTACTTTAATCTGAAAGATTTTCTGTAGGTGTTTGTGTCTTATTTGCATGAAGTAAGATTGATCCAATGGTACAGAGACTAAGCTTTTGCTAGAAGAAAAATGTCTCTTTTTAGTAGTTCCAGCACTTACTTGATTTTCTCTGGAAAGGAAATGGAATGTGCATCTGTAACAACATTTTGCCAGCACCGCTCCTTGAAACTTAAATGGAAATTCCAGGAATTATCAAGTTTTTGAAACATAGCCAAATTTAAACAAGGTATTTTGGGGCTCCTTTTTTAGTAACGAATACCAGACCACAGACGGTAGCAGAATAACCGCGCTCTGCGAAGTCACAAAGCAGCTGGTTTGGGCCCATGCTTTGTGGGCCCGTAGAGGGCCCGTAGAGGGCTGTATCCTCTTGTCACTACGATTTTTTTCCTTTTTTCCTGTTCATTTACAAGAGAAAATAGAAGACTGGAGATAGGAGTATATAAAAAAAAAAAAATTAAAACACCATCATTGCTGCCATTTGGATATTGGTCCCATATAGCAGCTAAGCTAAAGTATCAAGTGTGTTCTGAAAAAATTAAACCCATCATTGCTGCCATTTGGATATTGGTCCCATATAGCAGCTAAGCTAAAGTATCAAGTGTGTTCTGAGAGGTTTTCTCCATGGGATTTGCTAAGACCCAGTGAAAGAGTGCTCTCTCACTGGTCGAAGCTCCAAGACTCGCGAAGAACAGTACCCTGGCAGAACTGTTGTACAACAGGAGCAAGCAGATGTCTCAGTTTGCCTGTACAATAGAAATAATGGGCAATCCTGACAATAATTGAAAAAAACTGTTGTGGATTTGCATTTCCTTCCAACTTGTTTCCAGGATGTTCTGCAGCCTCAAAGTCTAACTGTTGTTATCTCAGAAGTATTTTGAGATAGCATCTTCTTAGCTGTTGGTGCAATACCTGTTATAAACTCGTGGGCGAAATGCCTGACAATGGAGTTTGGTTTTATCTTTTGTTTTGAAAGCTGGTGTAAAATCTTGCTCAGGTTCCCCATCTTAACTCTCTAAAATATCATTGCTTATTTGATCTTCAGAGTCACTGCTGTTTCACAACACGTTTTGAGTCATCGCCTCTGTTTACTATAGAAAAAGCCGGGCGCTCTGTCCTAGCTTTGAACAGCCTGTGGGACCTGCATGTGAAAACAAACGAACTGCCAAGAATGTCCATGCAAAGCAGATGCCGTGAACTTCCCTTTTCATTTATTCCTTGTGAAGTAAGTGGCTCTGCTAACAGCAGTCCAGATGCCTCCGTGAAGTCAATGTTCCCATAGCGCAGACTAAATTCCTCCATTTAAGTCCGAGAAAATTGTCTAAGCGGCTTCACGTCTTTGATGCAGTGAGAGGTGCGGATGCAGGGAGGGCAGCGGCAGGAAGGGTGAAGCACACAGCCCTTCATCAGTGGGAGCCGTCACTGCAAGGAGAGGCTGGGAGAGCTGGGGTGAGTCCGTCTGGAGAAGGCTTGAGGGGTTCTCATCCATGTGTACAAATTCCTGATGGGGCCAGGGAGGGTAAATATGATGGAGCCAGACTCCTCTCAGTGGTGCCCAATGAAAGAAATAGAGGCAATGGGCACAAACAAGCAATTACATAAGAAAAAACTTCCTCGCTGTGAGGGTGGCAGGTTGCCCAGAGAGGTTGTGCAGTCTCCATCCTTGGGGATACTCAAAACCCGACTGGACACTGCTCAGAGCCGGGTCGGACTGACCGATCTCCAGAGCAGACAGCCTTTTCCTTCCAGAAAAGCTCCCAAGCAGCCATAAAAATCCCTGCGGGCTGTGCTCACCTCTGCGGAGCGCAGGCTGCCAGACAGCTGCGTTCAGGTCTGGGATTTTCCAGGGCCCCCAGAACATGGAGCCTGCAAAGCCCAGGACCTCACCACGCTGGCATTTAGTACTGTTTCTTTAGCTTCCAAGGTAATCAATGGGATGAGCCCTGGGTTTACTTCAGGTGACTACATACTGTGACCTGCTTGTTCATCCATAAACTTGGTGGTGAACATAACATATACAGGGAGCCCAGACTGCTTCTGTGGAAAACCAGCAGAAGGTTTGTCCTGGGACCGCATGAAAGAAAGATGGAAAACATAATTTCATGAAATCGCAAGTGTCTTTGATGGGAGGAAGAGTGCACGTGAACTTGGGTCAGTGTATGAGCATCCATCCCTCCTGTACCTTCTGCCTCTGCTGACAGTGTGTTACCCATATTCGCTGGGGTAGTAGAGGGCTCGTGTAGCACTGTCACAACAATTGGTCCCGCTGTGGCAGAAATACAGAGAAACAACGTTTGCTTCCCTGGCACCGGGGACTCTTGCGCACATCTGGCTAGCCGAGGGAAAGCGTTCGGTGCCAGCGCACAGGGCGATCTGACACACTTTTTTTTTCCACGTCCAGTGAACAGAGAGTTGTAGGCTGGAGTTTCCAAGCTGTGTTAGAGCCAAACAGGC